AGCTCAGTGAGCCCGGGAGAGGAGGGAGAAGAGGACTCCGTGGTAGCAAGGCAGGTGGGGGCACAGAGGGGACTTTGGATTTTATCCAGAGCAAGATCGGGTCCATGGAGGGCTTTCGGGGGCACAAGGACACACTTCCAAAGACTCGCTCTGGCTGCTGTGGAAAATAGGCTCTACACGGGCAGGGGGAGGCTGGGGCAGTCCCAAATCTCCTGCGACAGTCACGTTCAAAGCAGTTGCTGACTGGCTTGATGGTGGGCATGTTAAGTGGGGAGACACTTGCCTGGCATGTGGAGTGAGAGCAAGATATGAATCAAAACTGCTTCTGAGTACTGTGCCCAAGCAATTGGAAGAATACAAACACCATGTGCCCAGAGGGGAAGGCTGGCTGGGTAAGGGAGCCCGAGGGGCGTAGAGCAAGGGAGGGCGGTTTCAGATCGAAGTGAGAGATACGTCTTACTCCAGATGTTGAGTAAGCAGTTCTCTCTTCAATCTGGAGTTCAGGTGAGAAGTCTGGGCAGGAAACAGGAGCTGGGGAGTCAGCCCAGGGAGCCAGGAGGTGGGGAGAGAGCCCCATGGGAGGGGTGTGGCTGGGGAAGAGCCAGGATTTTGCCCTGAGGCTGTCCAAGATTTAGAGGTGGGGAAGTGAGAAGGAACCAGAAAAGCCTACTGAGAAAAATCCGCTAGGAAGCTTGCGTCCTAGAAGCCAAATGAAAAGAGCTTCAAAAAATGGAGGAGCCATCCTGGCTGGTTTTGCCCAGCAGTTAGAGTGCTGACCCACAGACCAAAGAGTCGGAGGTTCAATTCCAGTCAAGAGCACGTACCTCAGTTGCAGTTTTGTCCCTGGGCCTGGTCGGGGTTGTGCGGGAGGCAACCAGTCGATGTGTCCCTCTAACGTCAATGTCTCTCTCTCTCTCTCTCTCTCTCTCTCTCTCTCTCTCTCTCTCTCTCTCTCCCCCCCCCCCCCCTCTCCCTCCCACTCTGAAGATAAATGGGAAAAAACATCCTCAGGCGAGGATTGAAAAAAAAAATGGGGGCACCATCGGCTGTGTCAAGTGAATGAATGGCACATGCAACATTTCAAAGCAACACTTTTATAAAGCACTCTGCATCTAGCTGGGCTTTAAACAGCCCAGAAAACAAAGTATTTCATACGCCTAAAGATGCTGCTTTGAATCTTTTAAAACACCTCCACATTTGTCACAAAGTTTAAGAAGGAAAAAAAATACCAAAGCAGAGCTTCGGGTTGTCCTGGGCTCCAGCACCTATCTACAAAGTCAAGTCTGTCCCTCTGCCTGTCAGTCAATGTGCAGAGCTTTGCTCTCTACACTCGCTTGGCTTGTCCAAATCACATGCCAGATAATGTTGAACATCACACGGTGGTGGTGGGGTCTGTGCACCTGTAACATTTCTGGGGCTCTCTCCCTTTGCGTCCCTCTGCTCGCCTCACATCCGCAATCCCACTGCCTAGAAGGCACTTGTGTGCTGTTTCATTTTGCCCCAAAATCGCAGTGAGGGAAGAAAACGCACTTCCGGTGCCAGGCCACCCCAAGTGTGTCTGCGGAGAAGCCAGGTCAGTTTGCGTGGAGTCTGGCTCCCACACAGCTCTGAGGATTGTCTGTCTGTGAAACCTCATTAGTGCCGACGCCATTTAGGTTTTGGTGATCATTTAGTCTCTCTGAATTTGTAGAATTGCTCTCATGATTGGTAAGGGAATCCAATTAAAAAGGAAGGTTTTTGTTTTTTTCCAAACCAGAGAGTTTTAAAACCCAGGAGCTATTCAATGTTCTGTAATGTCTGGGTACAGCAATTCTGTCTTGGATGCTCAAAGGCTCTGGACTTCACGCGGTTACGTAATGCAGGCCTCTGTGCGCCGTAACCGTAACTGTATGTGAACATTGTGCTTTCCAGAGAGGCCATGTTCTCGGCTTGAAAGGAGGATCCGATGCGCCCATTTGTGATTTTGTATATAAGGCCTTCTCAAGTGTAAAGAGAACTTTTAATTCTGTGCCTATAAAATAGTGAGGCTAATTCCAAAGCCATTATTACTGAGTTAGTAGTGACTTGGGAGAAACATGTTAAAAATAATCACTGATGGACTGAAGAGGCACCATTCATTTTGCCAATCACTCCCATTAGTCTGGGGACACACTAGGCCCTCGCTGCTCGATGGGGGGTCTCGGCGGCAGCATCAGTCACCTGGTCACCTGGGAGCATGTTAGAAACACAGGACATGAGGACCACACCAGCAGACCTACTGTGAGACGAAGCATTTTAACACCCTTGCCTCGGGGATCCTACACACAGCTGCGCAGGGCTCGGTCGGGGACCTCCTTTTTACCTCTTCACCTCCTTCGGTGACCTCCTGAGGCTTATGGGTGTTAATGCCATCTGTAGGCTAAGGACTCTCAGCAGATGTCACCGTGAGCTCCAGACCTGGAGGTCGAACTGCTTACTGACCATTTTTAACTTGAAGTCTAAGAGGTATCTCAAAATGAACATATCGAAAACTCTTGATTTCCTTCCCACCCCAAACTTGCTTCTCTCTCCATTTCATCTCCACTTAGTCTTCTCTATCGGTAAACGGCACCTCCTTCTCCCAGCTGGGTTCTGAGGTGGGGAGAGGCCACTCCTGAATCAGCCATGTGCTGAGCTGCCCGGGCCCCGCAGGGCTCCTGCCCGCCCTCAGCCCCACGCCCATCCTGCTTCCCGCCGGGCCAGCTCTGCTCCGAGGGCCCGCTAGACGCCCCAGATCCACCTGAGCGAGCATGGCCCTCCCAGCACTGGGACATTTCGGAGCATGATTCATTCGGGCTTCCCATCAACTCTGTTTCTGCTATTCCACAAAATCCCTTTCCCTTAACTAGTCTTGATTTCTGATTTTTAAAATGCTAATAAAGGCTACTATATTGGAGGTGTACATGTTTACATCTTTATTCAATGCAAAACGGCCATATCACTGTTTTCTGGAACGAACAAGCAAAACTCAGGCCTGAGAACTAAACTCACGTTGATCCTGGAAGGCCCAAACCATGTCAAGGCCAGACTACAGCTGAGCACAGCCAACGCAGGCATCCAAGCTTGGAGGCTGTTCAGAACCAGGATCAAGCAAAAGGTTTTTTGAGCTCCCTCCTAATACTGTGCACCCTTCACCCGAGTTACAAATGAGACGAATGAACAGTGGAGAGATGCAGAACAGCCACCCAGGTGATAAATGAATGGCACAAGGGCGTCTATGACCTGAGCATCACCACAGGTAGGAGTCGTTGCTTCACATTCTGGTCTCCCTAAAGACAGCACGTGAGGCCCAGAAACATACCTCGTTAAGACTTGGCTATGACAGTGAGGGATGAAGATCCATTATCTTCATCTGGAAGATAGAAAATGTTTTGAAGTATCTGGAATGATTCTCTCTAGAGTTGTATAATTTAGCCTTACTTATATGTAAGGCTTGGCTAGGGGTGATTAATATCAGCCAAGAGGTCAGGGGACTAAAATTATAATTTAAAAAACCCAACACCTGGCATCTGTACAAAACTTTCAGTTAATATAAGGAGATTCAAAAGGCAGGGACTACATTCATCCTGCTGGAGAGAACTTGATATGCACCTAAATTTCATACTTACCTTTAAATTTTTTTTTATACAAGAGCACACTTATTTATTTTAAATGTTTTTATTGATTTTGAGAGAGGAAGGGATACAAACATCGATGTGACAGAGAAACACCTATCAGCTGCATCCGGCACGCCCCCTCCTGGGCATCAAGCCCGCAATCCAGGCATGTGCCCTGACAGGGAATGGAACCGGACCTCTCAGTCCACAGGACGGTGCTCAAGCAACTGGGCCACATCGGCTGGGGTAGGCTAGAATAGCACATTTAATGTGCCACCTACCCAAGGTAAAAAACCCCTATAAACTCCAAGAGTTATAAAATAACCTATCTGTTTAGTATGAATGTTTCTTGTCCCCTTTCTATGTTAGAGAATATTTGTCTGCTTTTTCTATAAACCAAGATGAGTCGTGATTTATACATGTGTGCATGACACCTTTACCTAAATTACTGAACGACTATGTGCCAGGCACGCAAACAACCCTAGGCTCACAAAGAACCAGGTATATGACCGTCAGTCTCACAGGTCCTGGGAGGGCTTGTGACACACCGTCTCCTGGCCTTAAGCTTTAGGATCTAATTTACAAGTCGAGATGAACCACCTCATTGGTACTTTATACCTATCGACTCAATCTATCTTCCTCAGTGTTTTCCAGCACTATACTTCTCTTTAGGGTTTCTACTTAGTGTACTTTTCCAGTTTGTTTTTATATTTTTTGGTTTTATAGAGGAGATGACTGGAATCTTATGCAGCCTGCCCCCTCCGTCCCTGTCACCAATTACCACCTAGGGCTGCGGTTCTCAACCTGTGCGTCACGGCCACTTTGGGGGTCAAACAACCCTTTCACAGGGGTCACCTAAGACATAACAGTAGCAAAATTAGTTATAAAGTAGCAACAAAAATAATTTTATGGTTGGGGGTCACTATAACATGAGGAACTGTATTACACAGTCGTGGCATTAGGAAGGTTGAGAACCGCTGATCTAGGGGGTTAATGACCACACACACACACTTGTTAGAAAGTGATCATGTACTATTTACAGCAAGGGGTACAAGCTTATTATTCTCTTCTAAATTCTAAGCCAAGTAAACACTATCAATCTTAGCCTTTAAAGGCCTCAAAATTCTAATCCCAACTAAATTGTTTCTTATTTATTTAACAATTACTATTTTTAGAGCAAGATATCTTTAACAAAATCCTGATAACTTTATTTAATAGTTTTATCTTTGGTGGGAGGTCAGATAAAAAAATAAACTATGATTTAAAAAATACGTAACTGCCTCCTTTTACTGGGGAAGAAAAGGAGGGACATCTGTAATACTTTCAACAATAAAGATAAATTTAAAAAAAAGAAACTATGATTTAAAAAATACATAATTTCCCCCTTTTACTGTTTCCCTAGTAAACAAAATATGCGTGTTCTCTCTCTAATTAGGAGCTCCCAGCAAAAAGCACAGACCACCATCATGTTCTTTAGTACACCAGACCAAATGACAGCCTTATGTTGGAAAAGCACGCTGTTGTTATAGAATATTCTCCTATTTTGCTGAGATTAGCCTGAAATGTCCCTAAATTGGGAGATAGGCCCCTTGAGTGACAAAGTCCACTTCCCCATTTACAAGGGAGGGAAAGAACCCTATCTCATTAAAGCAGCACAGAGGAAATTAGCACAGCCAGCACTTTGACGGGATGCAGGCAGCAAGGGAAGACTGTAAAAGCACAGACTGTGTATGGAATTTAATTTTATCTTGATGAAGTATTCTGAAATAAAGACGATAATGCATGCATCAGGCACATTCGACAGAAGACTTCTACAACGGTTTACATTTCCTTTTTATTTATTCCTTGAAACTGCCCGTATTGCAGGTTTCTCATGGATGAAATATGGAACTGAGCAGATTCTTTTTTTCTACAAAATTATTGTATAAACTTGCTCAATTTTCTATCTTATTGCTAACAAACCTTACAGGCGCACAGTCTGCAAAATAAACCCCTTAAGGACTGAATGTGTAGAGCATGCTGCAAGGTACAAGAAATAAGCTAAAAATGAGCATATAAACCTACATTGGGACCAACACAGTACTGAATGCTGGCAAACATTTATCACAACACAGGGAAAAATTAATAGTAAGGGATACAGTTCAGTCCTGAAAGGGTTAAATAGAAACCCTAATATATTATTGTTTCTAACCATCCTTCCCACATTACAGTGCTTGAAAACAAAGCCAAAAGTCTGGCACAGAAAATTACACATATTTGTTCAGTACTCATCAGAAACAGCTGCTTTCAAAATCAAAAGTAAATAACTTGGTTAATAACTGAATAGGATTTTGTTTAAAAAAGAAATCCCCCCAGCCCCCATGGATTATCTGGTTAAACATAACTAGTTAATTTAGTTTTCAAAAACTGTATTGGAAATTTTCTGTGAGGGCACAGATGGTACCAGTTTCATTAGAAATATAAACAAAAGTAGCCGGTTATGATTGCAAATAAGTCTGTGCAGTAAGAGTGACAAACAGTTCACTAATTAACATGTATATGAGGCCTTCAGTTGCTACAGTTTAAGAAAGTCAGCAGCAGGCTAAATATTACACTAGTGTTCAACTCTGAAGTCATTCAAAATAGAAAGGGAATTTTACATTTAAAGCCTTTGGCTTGTCTTCCTCAATCTGTGTGATCAATTCAATGCAACTAATAAAAATATATTGGATCACCGACTCAGCTTCTATGCAGTTTTAGAAACTGCACAGAATCATGAGAGCATAAGATGTACTTCTAAAACAGAATCTGAAAAACAACAACTCAAGTGTAGTATCCTTTAACTGAAGCAGTTACCATTCTAAGATCTTCAGGAGGGAAAATGACCATCTCTAATAATGCCACCATGGGGGTGGGGAGGGGAGACCAACCTTCTATTATCAAGAGAGGACAAGGCTCCTATAAATTATATACTAAAAATGATTTACAAATCCATGAAAAATAATTTTTAAGCAGCTGACAAAAGAACTCCTTTAACAGTAACTACAACAGACAAATCATTTCAGTCTTTAGTTTGTAGTATTCAGAATGACAAAAAAAAAGCAAGGGAAATGCCTATATAAGTACATTCTTGGACTTTTTAGAAAAACAAAACAGGAAAGAGTTTACAGTCTAATAGTTCCATTACCTTATTAAAAGAAACAAAGAACCGAAATAAGATATATTTAAATAATAAGAAAGCAAAAGTTAGTTTTAATAAAGCCATAAACTTGAAGAATTACTTTGAGCTGCAAAGCTGGGTAAGGAATAGTTTTATTCTTCAAAAGTATCTCATCTGTTACCAGTTAACTTAATGTAATTTTGTAACTTAATATCAAACCTGGGAAGTGGAGGAAACTTGTGACCCATTAAAGGTAAAGCAGAACAGAAAACATTTCCACACTCGAACAAAAAGCACTGTGTGAAGGCTGCTTGTATGACGCAACAGAGAGAAGAATAAATACTACTCAGAAATAAGCAAATTTGTAAGAAAAAGCCAGTAAACAGTTAAAACAAAGAAAGATAAGGCCACAATGAATTCTGCCCTTGATCACTGAAAGAGATTGAAAGTATGAGGCAGGGTTAGCTTGTAAGAGAGAAGCTAGTGACTGGAGCAGATTTGGAGAGAAGGCTATATAGAATACAATGCAGCCTGTGGGTGATTAAAAAGGCTTGCAGTAAGAGAAAAACCACAGTAACTCTGATTTAACCACTAAACGTGTTTTTACAAATAAATGACTTCCCCCTTGAAAACTGAGGAAAAAGTGATTTAAAGATGTTAGAAATTGTATTTACAATGATGTAAACTGAGTAAAAGAATGCGCGATGAAGACAGCAAAGCTGAAACAGAAAATGCTACTAACAGCAATGTTGAAAAAGACTACCGATGGAAACATTTTCAAAGTAGCCCAGGACACCAGAAAGACAATGTTCTGTATGGAAATACTGAACTTACAGTTTGGGGTTCATAAGGTACTTTGGCTCCTGTTTTATGGGACAGTAAAAATCTTACCACAATCTAGAGGTAGTTTTTACTTAACAAGGATGATTGTATCACTAGACTGTGTCCTATAACATTACACACATGGTGCCTGCACTAAAAGTAGCCCAGAGTCTGCTACAATGTCTAAGAAACCAACACAGGCATAACCAAAGTGCAGAAACGGAAGCCATGTAACGGGTGAGCTTAGCGCAAAGGCCAGCACACAACCTGAATGCAGCCCAGTCGTAACTGAAGGGCAAAGAAATATTTTCTGAGTAGGAGACAGTTGTGGAGATGCTCAGTACTGGGAAAGAGAAGACAACAAAAAGCAGAGAGAGAAATGGAAAGATAAGTTGCATCTGCATTTTTATAATTTCACAACTATCTGTTCCTAAAGTACTGTCTTCCAGCTATTTTAGTTCATCTAGTAAGAGCATCTTGTTTTAAGGTTACAATGATATCTTGGTCTAGGCTACCAAAAAAAAAAAAAAAAGTAAATAAAAACATGCTTTTGCTGAGATTTTCCTCATTATACAATAAGGGCACCATCTACCAACAGGTAGCAAATACTTCTATGCTTTTTTTGTTGTTATATGCCAACAAGGCAAAAAACACCCTACTGAATGAAATCACTGGGAACATTACAAGTTCAAAATAAAATGTTTAACTTACACATAATACAAGTTATGTACAAGATCAGGAGGAGGAAAAACCTGAACAAATCCTGAACCATTTTTGCATGGGAAAGGAGAGAGAACACCAAATACCAACATGTTCTGTGCCATTAACTCATTAATGACTAAATGGCCACATTTAATTCCATGTAAATGTTAGAACCACTTGGATCACCATTATAAATACATTTTTAAAAAAAAAGAAAACACAGAAACCACTGCCAAACGTGTGAGAACAGAGACTAAGCCGACGTACACTGCATGTGTTGCAGGCAAGGCAGAGGCGTTTTTTAAAGCTTTTGCACAGACTTCATATAATCTTAAAAAAAATATGCAGGCCTTTACAAGATTTGACTTGCTGAAATCAAAACAATTTCAACTCATGAAAAGTCATAAGACTTCAGCTTTAAAAAAAAAATAAGAACAGTTTCAGCCTGAGACCAAAAAACCTGGAAGAGTATGGTAATTAGACTCAACAAGCATGGTCAGGCTTGGAACTTGAATGTACTTCTTAAGAGCAAAAGCTCAAAGGGGACAGGGAGAAGACAACCTATTTGGTAACAAGGTGTGCTATATACGGTGATATAAAAAAGGTATGGTGAAAATGTACCTTTTACTAAAGCTTATACAAGGTTCCTTGGTCCATAAAAACTATGTTAGATTTGTGTCTTCTAGTTTAACTTTTATTCCAGCCACATCTCTATTTCTTGCCCATTTAAACAAAACAAAACAAAAACCAACCAAAAATAACAGCTGAAAAAATTCGATTTCCAATAGTTTGTACATTTTGGTGTTCTTTCTGTTTGTTTGTTTTACTGTGGCTTCTGCACTTCACATCAGCACTTGCAGGTAATGGGCTTTCTGATAATATCAACTGGTATGAAACGTTTTCCCAAGAAACCACAAGACTGTTCACTTTTTTTGTCAACATTTCGCCGCATTCGAGTCAGTTTCAGTCCTAGCAACAAGACGGTAGTTAGGACACCACTGTTGCTGTAGATGATGTGACGTTGGTTGAATTTGTGCTGACATTTGTGTAACTTCCCTCGCTGTTTGTGTTTGATTCATTAGGGGGCACTTGGCTTGAACTGGCTCGAAGGATTGCTCCCGCTGCACTGCAATGTGGCCGTGGCCCTGGTTCTGGTGTGTAGGTAAAGGTAAGGCTGGTGGAATAAATGATTCCATCATTTCGGACCAAAGTTACCGGAACCTGGACTGGCTGCCGGACCCATCTCCAACCTTCTCGGAATGCAGAAATGTCTGGGACCACACAGAGCACACTCTCTCCACATCTGAGGAGGAAACACAAAGCACTTACACGCAAGGCAAATTTTAGAATTGAGACTTAAAACTGCATTGCTTAATATATTACAATCAGTATCAGGAAAGAGTCTCATACACCCACCCCACCCAAAACTCCAGATGATGTAAAAAATTTAACAAGTACCTGTACATGGTTTCAGCTTCTACGTCCCCAAACCACACTCGTAAATTTGGAGTGAAATTCTGTCCTGTAAGTTCAAGCATTGCGACGTCCCCACCGCCATTCAACTGCAATTCACAGAAAATTAGAACAGAGAAAACTTTTCATTTCTCATTAAAGTACACAGATTAGTTTCTCATTCAGTTATCATTTGAGAAAAATGAGTAACTAAAATGCTTCTTTTAAGTCAGAATTATGTAAGCTAAAAACATCAAGATAACATAGAAGTTGGCTTTAAATTTAAATTTTCTTCATAAAAGTAGGCTCCTATTTTTGTTTTTCTATTAACAAATAAAGTATAACAAAATACTCAAATCACAATACTTGGAGAAAAATCAATATTATTGTGAAATAAAATTATGCTAAGTCATAGCTGAGAGAAGCTACAAACAGGTAAAAGTAAACTGTGAATAGCGGTCTCACCTGAAGACTTTCTACGACAGGCACAGGTGTGACAGGGGCAAGGACAGGGCCCATCCCCTCGTAAAATGTATACTCTGCCTTATCCGTACTAATGATTGTCCAGGAAGCTCCATCATTTATCATCTCTTTATTTGGTTCTTTTGGGCATGGAGTGGCCTTATGAAGAAAGTGTAGAAATTTTTATGTGTATTGCAGTATAAGACAATTTTAACAAGTAACATTTACAGAGTGAACATGGAAAGAATTTAGTAAAAATTTATAAACTTCACAAGCATGGTGCTTTGCCAATCACTAAATAAACACAAACAAAATATTAACATGAAAACCTGACATATAGTTTTTATTATAATGTCAGATATTTCAGTGACATATTAAATAACTGATAATACCCTTCATAACAACTATTTCCTAGTACACCAACACCTGCATAATTTATTAAATAAAAGGTCAGTATCTGTGATGCAAATAGCTGTTTAAAACTCTGAAAGACCCTGCCCTGGAAGGGCAGCTCAGTTGGTTGGTGCGTCATCCTGTTCACCAAAAAGTTGTGCATTCAATCCCAGGTCAGGGCACGTACAGGAGGCAACCACTAATGTTCCTCTCTTGCATCGATGTCTCTCCATTCCTCTCTCTGGAAATCAGTGAAAACGTATCCTCAGGTGAGGATTACAAAAAAAACAAAACTCTTTACGGATCCCTAAGAAAGAGCAAGACTAGGAGACTCTCCTGCTTAGAAAACAGCTAGAAACGTATGTCCTTTCCGAGGAAGCAACCAAGATGTAAATCAGTAACATCTCACCTCTACCTTAAAACACCTAGACAGTCCACCAGTGCTGAGCTGAGGAGACGGCTGTGTGTGGCCATATCTCCAGGACAGGTCTCTAGATATTTACAAACAAGTTTCAAATAAAAGTATAACTCTTATATTAATAAGTTGCCTGTGTCATAAATGTCCCCATGAAAGACTTCTGAGTAAATGTAGTTAAAAATTAGCTTTTGAAACATGTCATCATTACTATCTTGGAAGCCCCCAATATAAATATGATTAAGAATTATGAACTCTCCCCGAAATATGCATGTATCCATACACAATGTGTGCACACAACTTCAGGGTATTTGCTGAATACCTGATATCTACTTTTGGATAATCCAAGGGGCTTTCTGTCCCCCAGAATTAGATGTTAACTGTTTCTCTGAGAACATTTTCAAGAATTTTGAGTTCTTCTTGAGGTAGGATGACCAACATGTCTGAAGACCGTGTGGGCTAAAGACCCTAGGACTTAAGATAAATATCTGAATACAGCTTCATGTATTTGGATACAATTAACATTAAACAAGAGCTTCATATTTCTGCATGCTATTGACCTAATACACATTTTAGATGTCACCAGTAATTTAAAAATATACCTGAAACTGGATTATTCTTTCTTGAGAAAGGCACAAGTACATTCTTTCTGTATCCTTAAGGTAAAATGCGCATTTATGGAGTTGTGACACAGGGTCATCTGCATCCAGTAACGCAGTCTGCTTATCAACTTTTCTAATTATCTGTATTTCAACAATGGAACAAGAAGAGGTCATCACGCATGGAGAGTTTCCACTGGGTATACTTTCAAGAGTACACAGAAAGAATAAGCTATATAATAATACATCTATTACCTATCACACACCTACTTACACAAACATTTACAAACAGTAAGACGAGGTATAGAAAATGCTTTCAGATCGCAAGCATGTTAGAATGTGGAACCTGTCCCTCCTTCGATGAGCACCTGAAACTAGGGTGGGCACTGGCTTTCCAGATCAGTGATTTCACGCTTCAATGTGCATACAAGTCACCGAAGGTTCTTGTTAAAAATACATCTTTTCTGAGCCAACAGATGTTGTGTGGGGCCTCAGATTCTGCATTTTAAACAAATTCCCTGTTGATGCTAACCCTGTTGGTCTATATTTTGAGCAGCAAGTTCAGATGACCTTTCCAATAAAATGTAGTGACAAATTTTTAAAATTTAAAAATAAATAAAATGGCAAATAACACAAATATCAAAGGAAAAACTCTCTAAAGGCTATGTGGGTATAGTAGTCAGTGTAGTCCATTATCTAATATATATAAACACCTAAAATAGGTATCATTTTTCAGATTAGAAATGAGCTCAGAAAGGTCAGGAAGTTCCTCAACATCACCTGCTTATTGGCTGAAAGACCAAAATATGATTCTTGGGCTGTCTGCCTGCCCAGCCTGAACTCTTATGCTCCACAAGATTATAATCCAAATATTCCACAAAATACATATATGGATATCTGAAAATAATCCTATCAAACCTTAGATGTCATTTGTCACATAGAAGGTAATCACTAAGTGTCTGATGATTATGAAGATCATGACTAACAGTATACAAACATTTTTAAACTATTTCTTATCTAAAATCAAAAGTAAAGAAAACTCTTCCTTGACTACATGTCCCCATGCCTCCCTCTCATCATCCACTTTCACTTTCCTCTTTTTAGAAAACTCTTCTTCCTCACCATCCAGCCCCTCCTGAAATCCTTCCAGCCCATTGTCTCAAAGTCTCTGCTACAATCGCTCTTGTCGAGGAAGGCCACAAAGGACTTCCAGATGAATGCCATGGGCACATCTGTCCTCATCTTATTAGCTTTCTCAGAAGCATCTGACACAGACATTCTCCTTTCAGAGACTGCTGCTCTAATGGCCTGTACAGTGCCCTAGGACCAAGTCCTCAGACCTCTTCTCTCTCTATACTCAATACTTTCTATACTGTTTAGAGGCTGGCAACTCCTAAATTTACATTCCAGCCCTACCCTCATTCCAGCATCAATTTGTATATTTGACTACCTAGTCAACAGTTCCACTTAAGATGTCTTATAGGCTATCTCAATCTTAATAAAACATAACTCCTCCAACCCCCAGCTCACCAAATGACACCACCACTCACTCAACAAGAAAACCTTGAAGTCATCCTTGACTCCTTGCTTTTTCTCACACCCAATCATCCAATCTCTCAGCAAATTCTGTTCGGTCTACTTTCAAATAAATCAGTCACCACTCATCACCTCAGCATTGCAATCCTAGTCTACGATACCACTGTCAACTCTTGCCTGAATTATGACAAAGACGCAATCACCTGCATCTCTGCTTCCGCTGTTAGTCATCCCTCACTACTTTGCACTTCGACTTTCGCGGCTTCACTCTATCACGGTTTTTTCCAAATACTATATTTTGAATACTATACTATATTTGAAAAAACCGTGAAGACTGAAACCATGAAAGTCAAAGCCCGAAGTGGCGACACATGACTGCATATGAATAAAGAATCCTACTTCGTGGACATTCATTTATTGCGGTACAGTCTGGAACTGATTAACTGTGATAAACGAGGGCCGACTGGACACTCCTATGTTCTCCCCTCCACAGAGCAGCCAGAATTATCCTTCTGTATATAAATCAGCCATCATTCCTTGTTTAAAACCCTCCGAGTGGCCTCCTAACACACACAGAGAATATGAAGTCCTTACACTAGATAGAGAGTAACAAGATGTTGCCCACGGCTAACCTCAGCCTGACTTCCTGCCACATGCCCTATCCACCCCTCTTGCAGCTCCAGCTGCAGCGGCTTCCATACTAGTGCTCACACCTTCCTGTCTTAAGTTCATTCTGTATGGATTCTGTCTCCCTGAAAACGCTCCTTACCAGTTTGTGGTTTCTCAACTTCAAATACCCCCACTTCAAAAATACTTCTCTGATTACTCTAAAACACTTTCCCAACTCCTATCCCTTTATCCTTTTTAAATCTGCCTTCATATCACTTATATTAACCTTTTACTTCATCGTGTGGGTATTTCTTTAGCTGATTTTTTTCTATCTCCCTATCAAAATGTAAGCTCCATGAGGACAGGAAGTCTGTCTTGATCACCTGGCACACAGAGGTTTCAGGATTATTTGTATAATGCACGTCTGCATGTAGGACTCTAATACTTTGCTCCACAATGAACATCCTTAACAGTAACTTCTCAGAGTTTCGTGAGGATTAAATGAATCAATATATGTAAAAGTGCTTAGAACAGCGCTATTAATACTATGTAGCATTGCTGACTTCCATCACTTGATTCACATCTTGTGTTCAAAGATTTTTCTTCAGCTAAGCCATGATTGTAAAAAAAGTCCTAATCTTTATGTTGACATTGTTCATATTTACACATTTTTAGCTCTGCAGTCTGTTAGAATATTTATAATTCTATTTACACCACCACTCACTCATTTTTGAGTTTAAAGAGTCAGTACATTTTTAGTAATTAAAGCTTCTAAGTCTGTAAGATTAATGAAACTTAAACAAAATGTTTCAATTCAATGCTAAAGTTTTAAAGCTATATTAAATAATACGGACCTTAGAGAAATAACGGGTTTTTGAACGATGAAGTCTAAAGCTTCCTGTAAGTCTATAAGCACTCACTCATGTATCCCCACCTGGTAAGAGTCACAACTGAGCTACACTACCATTGCTGTGTACTCCATGGTTTCTCTACTCGCTAGTAATAAGCACATTCAGGACATGAGCCATGTTTGGTTCACTTTTATTTCCCACAATAATTCTTTGGACATAGACACTGCTAAATGAGCTAGCTCTCCCCAATAAATAAATCAAAGATGTCTACTACTATTGTCTAAGTAAATGCATATTTGGCATTTAATGCCAAACCAAATAAACATTACCCTTGAAAAAGAGTGAGAATAATGAATGAAAAGAATTCGAGTAAAGGTTGACTTGGTTTATTTTCTTGTTTGCATCTTTCTTTTTTTTTTTTACACCCTTCTCTCTCTACCTTTACCCTTTTATTATAATTTGTCTCAGTTTTAAGGTTTTATAAATTAATTACTATATAGTTGAGCTTATTAAGTTGAAATGGGAAATAAAACCACCTTGTAAAACCATGACATAGAAAAATTTATAAAAACAAAAACAAGGGGAAAAAATGTTGCATTTATTTAGATAATTATAGACCCAATCCCTGCTGAAATAGTCCCAGAAAATATAAGCCAATGAAATATGTCACTAGAGATAAATATAAAGTATATTCAGGAACAGTAATACTAAATGCTCTTCCATTCACCCAACCCCTGCAACTTGTTCTTGAATCAAACTTACTCAAAGGTCCTCCCCACCTTCACTATCACTAAACTACATTCTGTTTCAGAAAAAGAGAGTATGTGGGAAGGAGTAAAAGGAGATTTTGCTTTCATTTTGGTAGGAAAAGCATTTTTACAGTTTCATGATCTCCCTAGTGAACAAAAAGCCCTAAATAATATGCCTGTCTCCTATAGTAATAAACACCAATTCTATTTAATTTTTAATACCTCTTTATTCTTGTGGGAGAATAAATTGGTAAAAATTATACATATATTTCTAAAGAAATAAAAATGCCTATGTTTTTGAAAATTTGATCCTATGTTGGGATGCAGCAGGTACCACGAAAAATGAATACAGTACAGCTGCATTAAGAAATCACAATGTAATTTTATAGCGCCCTCTATCGACCATGTTCAGATACACAACCAAAAAGGAAAAATGCTACAAAAACTTATTAAAAATAGTACAACAGGAAGTCGTTAATAATGCATTGATAAAAATTGGCTAATTTCCTTAAAGCATTTTAAACATAAACTGGGGTTTAACTGTTAATTACAAATAGCAGTGATTACTGATATCTCTTTTTAAGTAGAAAAGCATGAGCTTGCCCTGGCCAGTTTGGCTCAGTGTTCAGTGCGATGGCCCGAGGACCAGAGTCGCAGGGTCGATTCTCGTCAGGAGCACAGGCCTTGGTTGCGGTTTTGTCTGCGGCCCTGGTCAGGGTAGTGTGGAAGGCAGCCAATCGATTGTTTCTCTCTCTCCCTCACCCCCTCTCTCTCCTTTCCTCCCTCCCACTCTATCTAAAGATAAATGGAAAATTATCCTTGCATGAGGAAGAAAGGAAAGAAGGGGAGGGGAGGGGAAAAATAAAAGCATGAGCTTGAAGTATATTTTTCATTTGAATGTTGTGGCGTTTCTGTTTTCTTAATTTTTACTACACATATTACTAGAACAAAAGTGGAGCCATACCAGTCTCGGGAGTGCCATGCCAGTAACTGAGCACACAAGCTTGACTGTCTGTCCATAATGGATGTAGCCATCACGAACTGTGAACTCTTCTCCTTCTGACTCATCGTCATCCACTGAGGTGGGTGGAAAAAGAGAGAAAATTGTTATCTTTCAGAATTCATTAATCTGCTCAGGAATACAACAACACAATATATCCATATGTCTTGTTATCAAAAAGAATTTAACAATTTCAGAGTAGAAACAGCAAATGCACATTTTTATACTCACAGAGATGAATGTAAAATGCTCCCCACTGCTGAGAACTGGCATGGAAATTACCTCCTTCTACATGCAAGTATCTGGTACTAACTGTCTGGGATCGAAGCCGATTAAACAGAGCCACCTTTGTTCCTGAGGCAATGCATACTGCAGAGAAAAAAATAGCTGTTTATGTGGGGGGGGGGGGGCGCAGGGCGGGGGATTGGCAGCTGGCAAGTTATGATTGTTCTTTATTATAATTTAATATTTGTATTATATTAAATTAATATTATAATTTAACAGATTCTTTTAACAAGATTTTAACACTCCAAAGAATACAGATAATATCCCCCTAAAAGTCAAGGTAATTCTCATTAATAATTTTAAGGTACAGATATAAAATATGCCCATAAAAATCATCTTTAAATGAGAACTATACAATATGTTAATGCAGTGCTATTCATTAAAGGGAAATTATTTTTAAAATAATAAATGTCCAAAAATGGAAATTGATTAAATAAGTTATAATACCTATTACCTATTTAAATAACATGTATTAAAGGCACTGATAAGAAAATATTTATCTTTTTGGAATATCATTGAATGGAAAAACAGATGCTAAAACACTTGGTATGTGTGGTTCCATTAAGCAAATGTACATATTTTTATGTGATTGCCGGTGTGTCTCCATTGCTCATATCCAATCCTGTAGAGAATATTCATAGGGAGGGGTCTAAAAGGATGTTTACCAAAGTTGATGGTAATTGCCTCTGAATACTGTGATCACCAGAGATTTTAATTTCTTCTAAATACCTTAAAGTATATAGCATTGCATGAATTTTAAAACAACAGCCACATCTATATAAGCAGGAAAATATTCTGAAAATAAAATATGTTCTCTGCCATCAAGAAACGTATTGTGACTAGAGATACAAAGTTGGAGGTTAAATAAAATCCTGTAACTTGATTTAGAAGTAGCCCAAATACACGACATTATATACTTCCTGATGCAAGAACACTTCACCACTATAAAGTGAGCCTTGCCCTCCAGCAACAACAAAAAGACAAAAGAACAACTAACTTAAATCTGATCAAACTTCTAAACTGACTACTGACAAAGACTCTTTCCTTGACCAAATTTTAGACAGGCCCCTCTGAGCCCTCTTTTGACTAGGCCTCTTCCATGGGCCCTGCCACAGGCCCAGTTATTGCAAGAATCCTGCTAAGCCATCCTCCCACTCTGGTTATCTGATCAAGCTCCTTACCATCCCCCAAGCTTTGTATCTGATATCCGAGTCCTGTCCTCAGCAAGTTCCGTCAGACTTGTTTGTCAAAAATCCCCCTACCCATGATGTCTGCTTTTAGTAATTTTCCATGCACTGCTCCTTGCCTATAAATCCCCATTTGTCCTTGCTGTATTTGGAATTGCTCAACTGTACATTGAAGTCTCTTTTCCCCACTGCAACAAGTACTGAATAAAACCTGTCTTTACTACCTTTAACTGTCATGCTCTGTTTCTCTTTAAAACCACCAATTCACAGAGAATACGTTCAACTACACGAAGGAAATGAAATTAGCAAAATCCAGTCTGTGGAAAGCTCTCATGGCTAAATGACTCAGTCTCTTGAATAAATAAGTTGTAAGGAGAATCCACAGATTTTAAATACACAAGGATAGCTCAGCCGGTGTGATTCAGTGGACTGAGCATCATGTCCCATGGACTGAGAGAGGTCCTGGTTCGATTCCTGGTCAGAGCAAATGCCTAGGTTCCAGGCTCAAACCCCAGTGTGGGGCATGAAGGAGGCAGTCAATTGATATTTCTCTCACATTGATGTTTCCCTCTCTCCCTTCCTCTCTCTCTAAAAAATCAATAAGAACATATTAAAATACTCAAGGACATGTCAATACAATATATATTGTATTATTAGTTGGAGCTTATTTAAATTTTTATTCCAACAAAGCGCTAAATAATGACATTTTAGACCATTTTAAATTTTAACACTGACTAGATATTTAATGAAATTATTTCTTTTTAGTTATTTTATAACATGTTTGTTTTCATGTGATCATGTTGTTATGATTATTTTATAAAACAGGAGACCCTATCTTTCAGAGATATTTACAGATGAGAAGATGTCTTGGATTTGCATCAAACTAAAATGAGGGGAGAGAAAAGCCAGAGTGGGATAGGGGTACAGAATGAAGATGAAGTTAAGATCACTGCTGAAGTTAGAACACAGGAGGTTTCATTTCATTATGAAAATAACAATGACTGTGTGGACTAAAAACCATCCAATAGATATAGAAACCTATAAATTCATAATAAAACAAAACAAAACAAAATAAGAACCAAACAAAATGGAAGTCCTAAAACCTCACTGGTCACCTTCAAAGTATATTATTGTTATTCTGCAAATTAATAAATAAGCATTTATCCTGCCTTTCCTCTACTGACTACATTTGAAACAAACTGCTAACAAATGCAGAAATAATGAAAAAAAGAATTAGAAAAGTCACCATTTTGCAGCCCCTGATGAAATATTTGATTTAAGCAGCTATCATCAATGACTACTACAACCATTAGATTAGACTGCTCAGAACTGTGTAATGGATGGACTGGGCTAACAACAGCTCAATTTACTATAATCAACTTTACTATGAAAAGAAGTGGGATGATCAGATATTATATAACTTCTGATTCAATAGAAATGAACATATATAGGGCCAGCTAAATATAAAAGTCTTGAGGTCTAGCCACCAATTTATGGAAAATATGAGACAGAGAAATATGTAATCAGCCAGATCCAGAACATGGAAATTCCACATGAAAAATGATCTGTTTCTTTAACAAATTATAAGAAAGAAATAAAAGTCTGAAGGGGGGGACAGAAAAAACTATTACAGATTAGAATGCATGACCCTTGTTTGGATCCAGTTTTGAATAAGTTAATTGTTAAAGAAACAACAACACAACTGAAATAGTATTTCGGAGACAATGTAATAAATCTGCACATGGCTGGGCTTTTCCATCAAAGAACTGTCAACTTTGTTAGGTGTAACAATGTTTAAAAAGAACGTTATTTGTTAGAGAGTCACTACTACAGAAATGGTAACTGAGAGGATAGGATATCTAAGATATACATTAAAATATTTCAGCAGTTAGAGGAGAAAGAGGTGCTGGTGGTCATGGAGATGATGAAACAGACTTGATAAAAGCCTGCTGAGCCCAGGTGGAAGGTCGGTCACCTTACAGTACTTAAACCCTTTCATTAAGTTTGAAAGTTTTCATAATAAAATGTTAAAAGAAAAACAAATATAGGGATTGAAATGTTTAATTCAAACAGACAGCATTTATTTCTGAGAAATCTAAAAATCTGCTGATGAGACAGAAGTCTCTGCCAAAGCAACCATGTTAAAAATCTTGCGGAGGGTCTCCGGATGGCCTTCCAAAGCCCATTTGATGTAATAGTGTTTCTCAAAAAGGTGCCTTTTTTTTTAATCCATATCACCTGAGGACATTTTTGCATTTATCTTCAGACAGAGCAGGAGGGAGAGAGAGACACACACCAACTGGTTGCCATCCATACAACCCCAACCAGGGCCAGAACAAACTGCAACAGAGGTATGTGCTCTTAGCGGAAACCGAACCCAGGACTCTCTGGTCCAAGGGCTGATGATGCTCCAACCACTGAGCCAAACTGGCCAGGGCTCAAAAAAGGTGCTTTGGACATTCTTGGTAAATCAATTCTGTGTCGAATGAGGACATCTTGACCCAAGACATCCAATACTAACATCACTCCCTCTAGTCACAGTGCAAAAAGAAAAAACACTCCTATTTTTCTAAATGCATCTGGAAAGCAGTGAGGAACCAACTCTAGTTGGGAACCACTTCCCAGACCAGGCATTGCCCATTTTTAATTTTAAAAAAGACAAGAAAGCCCTGGCCGGTTTGGCTCAGCGGTTGGAGCGTCGGCCTGCGGTACAGAAAAAAGACAAGAAAGCAGCAACAATTAATGAATTTTTAGATAAAGTGGGGGCCACAAAAATATTAAAAATGAACTGGCTATCAAAAAGCAATTTTTTATTTTAAAAAAAGTTATATTTATCTTAATTCATGGTGGAAGTTGGGGACATAAAAGAAAACTAAAGTATACATACAGTCAGCATTTTTCAATGACTGCTTCTTTTTGGAAGGTTTGGAGATGACTTTTATCCGCTTGCTGAGGAACACACCAATGTCATCACTGTTGCCATAGAACATCTTTACAGACAACATGAAATGCTTTCTCTTGTCCGAATCAGATATGTACAATGTTTTGGCTGTGCAATAGTTCTGTAAAAGAAAAGGAAACTTTTAATAGCACCAAAAACTTGTTGGTTATGTACCTATAACTCTGTATGGTCATGGCTAGGTTTGATCAGGTTTAAATGCAATAACTTCAATGAGAACCCGAATAAAACAACTATAAAAATTACTGAAATTAATCTCTGAAGACAAAGTACAGCCTCCCTTATCAAGTCTATAAATACTAACACTGTGAACCATTTTACTCTCCCTAAAAGACCTTTAAAAAATAGTATTTTCTTGTTTTGTATAGCTCTACATCTATATCACAGAATTATCAATATAAGTGGTAATTTTTAAAGTTAGAATTTTACAGCTAAAAAAAAAAACTATATCTTTTTGTAAAGAAAATATATAAACAAGGCTATCAACATTCAATCAAATTATGTAAAAAAATTTAGCAGTGGTCCTTCCCAAAATAGTACACAAAATGGGAACAGTAGACTAACCACCTATAAAGTCTAAGGAAAACAACGCTAGTGCTAACTGGATTATTATGCCAGAAATGGCTTATTTGAGTATACTTTAAAGGACTCTTCTTAAAAAAATGTTAACTTTGCCCAATGGAATAATTCATATTACCAAAAGAACTGAATTTAAAGGTACTAGAAAAACTAAACATAGCATGACATTATGTCAGTTTACCAGAAAATGCACTCTGGTAATTAAAAATATAGTATTAAAGAGTTATAGCACTTACAAAATAGCAAAGATACTTGAAAATGCTATTATTTCAAATATATATGAGAATTCTATATATCTTTGTGAATTGGGAAAGGAACTAAATTACTGATCGCCTTTTTCAGACTAGATAAATGATGCTCAAACACAGCTTATTTAAAATATCTGAATGATATTTTTTAAAAGACCAATGTTTTACTTTAAAATTAGGCTAAGCAAGTTTCTCTGACTACCTTCTGCTGTGTGTTTCTTTTAAAAAGCAGGGCAAATGGCACTCACTTAAAGAAATGAGCTAATGTGCCCTAGGTTTTTAATCTTTAAACTTTACTCATAGGCAATTTTAGTAGAACAAATATAATGCCATAGTTTATTTTCTTTCTCAATAGCAAAGTTATATTAAAAAATTTAGATGACATCTTAAATATTTTATACTCAATTAATTACGTTTTTATAAATCCAAAAGTGGTAAAAGCTCTGAGAGACTTCTCTCTGCAGAAGACAAAATTAAGATGAAGCTAATAATAGTAACACACAGTAAGTGAAAACAACAGTAGTTTGCATTCACACAGATCCTTTCACCAAGGATCTCCAAGCATTCAGAGATGTTGTGGCAGGAACCGGGGATAAAAACCTTAAAAAGCATCAATGGTCAACTTAAGCCTCAACTATGGAATTATTCTGCAATATAAGACAAAGACTAGGAATATGGTATCAGTATACTAAAGCAGACAGTTATAGGGAACAAAAATGAAATATGTATCTAAATGAAGGCAATGACATTCTAGTGGGAAATTTTTTTAATGTTAAGATCATTAAATTGGGTGTCAACATTAAGGGATGTGATCAATATCAGAAAACAGAAACTAATGAAACCTAGCAAAAAATGGTAAGAAAGACTGGCAAACGGAAAAGGAAAAAAAGATTAGAGAAGGTTGGACCTACACACAAAGGGCTATATTATTTCTTTTTCAATAATGATAAATTATGCCATTCAATAAATAGACTGTTGAAAGAAAATAATATCACCTTAAATGAATGGAGGTTAAAACAGACAGACAGGAGCAAAGTGTCTCTTTCTGGAGCTCAGCATCCCACCGCTCTTTGCCTACCTGGGCCCAAACATACCCGTTCATATGCCTTTATGTCCCAAGCACATGATTACGTCGTTCTTTCTTCCTAGGATGCCTTCTGCTTACCCTCAACAAGTCTTATTTTATATAGACTTCTCTAATAGCATTTTTCATTGAAACTATTAACATTATTTTAGCTAAAAGGCACTGTGTTACTCTATTAGCAGGATTTTTAAATATTATTAATGCTTGAGCTCTCAGGTATTCTTTTCCTCTTCTATGAATTCCTAGGACTTAGGAAAAGGATATAATAAAAGTTGAAGGAAGATATACTAAGACATGATGATGAGAAAGGCCAGGTGGGGGCAGGGGGTGCTGTTTGTTTGGTATTACTTCCCTTAAAATTGCTGAAAGCTGGATTGGTTAACACAAGCAATAATTAACATAGGCATATACATCGGTCACCAGAATCCCTGGCTTCCTGATACCTTTCTATCTAATCTAAATATTAATTCATAGTACCAAATGTTGAGATACAGCTTGGAGACACAGAACTCTGAGGCTTTCTATGTAAGAGGAAAATAGATACGACATGGCTAAGGCCTATTAGATAAACCCACCGTTTAAATATATCCTTCACTTTGGCTCAAGAGTCATCATTTAGAAATACTTTTTACTGCTGTATTTTCTTTTAAGATAAAACAACCTTGCCCTGGCCAGTTTTGCTCAGTGGTTAGAGTCTGGAGAGACCCGGGTTCGGTTCCCGCTAAGGGCACGTACTTCGGTTGCAGTTTGTCCCCGGCCCTGGTTGGTCGTGCAGGTGGCAGCCACTCGATGTGTCCCTTCACGTCGATGTTTCTCTCTCTCTCCCTTCCTTTCTCTCCCTCCCACTCTATCTGAACAAAAAATGGAAAAATATCCTCGGGTGAGGATAAAAAAAAAAAAAAAGATAAAACAACCTTGCCCAGCCAGTGTGGCTCAGTGGTTGAGTGCTGACCCATGCACCAAGAGGTCGCTGGTTCAATTCCGTGTCAGGGCACATGCCCAGGTTGTGGGCCAAATCCCCAGTGGGGGGCATGCAGGAGACAGCCAATTGATGTTCTCTCTCGTTGATGTTTCTGTCTCTCTCTACCTCTCCCTTCCTCTCTCTCTAAAAATCAATAAAGGGGGAGGGGGGGAAGATGAAACAACCTTTGCCCTGGCCGGTTTGGCTCAGTGGTTGAAGCATCGGCCTGCGGACCAGAGAGTCCTGGGTTCGGTTCCCGCTAGGGGCACACACCAAAAAAAAAAAGGATAAAACAACCTTTATTGTAATAAGTTTTATTGTAAACCTAACTTGAATTACATAGTTGACAAGTCTTAGTGACAAAAACTATAAAGATACAAATGACATAAAAATACTCAAATCTATAAAAGGATGACATTAAGGCTTCTTATTGCTCATTATCTATAAAAGGACTAAAATTGAACCTGAAAGTACAAATTCTTTAGCTCACCACCTTCAATGTTGCCTTCTAACCCCCATCCCTAGTGCAACTATAACACAGCAAACATTAAGACATTCAATAAAAATATAATGAATTTAAAAAATAGCTTTGTATGCACTATATTAAAAGACATGTATGTGCTCACTGAGATCAGAACTAACCATTTTCGAAATTTTAATATCAAGGGAAAACAAATATTAAATGCTAAGTTAATAAGGAACTATGTTTGAATTCCAAAGGTACAAATGAAAATGGCTGCTTTCTAAATTTATAAAATACAATTAGTAAAACTAATTCATAAATTTTATTCCCTAGAACATTAATCAAAGAAAATTTCCTAAAAGTTTGAGTGAAACTAATTGTGGCTATGCTTACCTATAGCATAGATCTACTCCACACAGAGGCTAGGTAAAATATTTATGATCTTTAAAACCCAGGTAAATGCTAAAGGATAAGAATGTATCTATATCACTTCACTCTAGCACAAGACTATGATTAAGAGAGCATAGTAAAATACTATTGGACTATGTCTTTATCATTATTTAAGTATCACACCCCTGTCAGATGAGTGATTAGCCTCCTAAATATATCACTTCCAATGGAAATCTGATTCACAGTCTGGTAAAACTGCTAGCAAGCTGAGTGCCACCATTAGATATTAACAGCTTGAGCTCCATGAATCATGACTAGACCACAGCTATTTGAGAAGTTTATTTCTGGTTCTGACTTATGTATTGAAAAAATTGCTATTGGTAGCCACAGGGGGGAGGGGAGAGAGGAATCACTACCACAAAAACAAATAAGGAAACTACATTCTGGTACCATAGTGCATTTATGGGAAATCAACAGCTTTAATGTACCTTTCCTTCCAAGTTCAGCTGCTGCATTTCTTGGTCACTATTTCCTATTCCAATAAATGCACATGGTTGAGACTCTTGTTCAGAACAACCATCCCGCTCCATTTGTTCTTTTTTTTTCTTCCATCCACTGCCCATAAGATACACACAAGGAGGTGGGCAAAAAAACCTGAAACAATTAAAACAAAAACAATGCAATTAGATTTTTAAAAAGCACTTCCTTGTCTTGAACATATGAATATAAAATCATATTGAATTGTACTAAGTTCCTAAGGAAGCCTTTTATAATGTAAATAATCATGTTGATGGCACAGAAATCAAGACTTCCACTAAGACTGCATTTGTTCAGGTAAGGCTCATCTATGTTGGAGTTATGCATTCAGTTAATTCAGAATTCTGAACTAATGAAGTTCAGCAAATCCAATATGCTCTAACATATTACCAAACATGATACGCCACCACAGAGTCTGCAATTGCCAAACAAGGTCTCAAAATTATGTAATGTTAATTAATGACATTATTGTTATGATATTACACTTAACTTTATTTGATAATTAACCTAGAAAAGAATCAGAGCAATGCCCAATGTAGAAACTTTCAAAATAGTACTAAAACTAGGTAAAATTAAAAGCAAAGTGGATGATCACTAAATTACTATACTTTATACATCTTACACCCTCAACACCTGGTGGATGGAGATGAATGAAAGAATAATATACTGCATCCTTTCACCTCACAGACTACCAATAGCTTTGTTTTGCTGATTGCCAAAAACCTGCCCTCATAAATTCTTCCCATCTAGAATAATTTTCTTATAATCTTCTCTTTAGCAATTAAAAAAATATCGATTTCAAAGCCTAGCTTAAGCCCCATATTTTACATAGTTCAGACCATCAATGCAGTCCTTACATAGGTTATAATTTCCTTTTGCTCAGTTATACACACTGACTTGTACGCACTTTAAAACATTTATGCTATGTCTCATAAAGGGGCCTGAAAACTCAAATACCTACTGAAATATTAACCAAGTAAGTAATGTAAATGGTGAACCAGGTGTACAAGAAATAAGTAGGAAAATCCTTTAATTACCCAAAGAAGAAGGTTCTCTCCCTCCTTTCTTGAACCACACAGCCCTCATGGTAATTCCCACTTTTTATATAGTTACGAGTATAGGAAAATTTTTCTTAATTCTTTTAAGACCACTGTAAGAAAAACAAGAGCTTAAATACAATGATAATTAGCCAGTGATGTGTGGCTCTGATGGTAAGAAAACAACAGGGAATGGCAAGCTTGTGAGTATACACCCCATCACACTGTTGAACTACAGGTATGTGGACCCAGTATTGGTCACATCCTTCAATTTGTTCAACTGATGCCAGAAATCAAGTTTTTATATAATTTCTAACTTTATAACTTGGCCACTGATTTATGCTTTTTAACACTTTTAAGCCAATAATGTGCAGGCTTAAAAAAGAAAGCTGTACACATACAGATATGTGTAAGTACACACACAGCCACTGCAGACTGGCCTTCCTACCGGTAGTAATAGTTCTTGTTTTCTTCCCTCTTAACACCTACTACAATGCTGATTGGAATGAATCAAAATATATCATGGCACCTATTTTTTGCTCACTTTTTAAGGACTACTTCAGAGGGAATCTACATATAATTTATAAGTAGGCTGGGTTTATTTAATAATATTAATTCACCGATTTTTTAATCACATCCTTAATCTGTACCAGGAGCTAGAAATAGTTTTTTAAAAAATAAAAAATAGGACAAAAATTTCTGCCCTAATGCAACTCACATTCTAATAGAAGAGACAAACAATTTTTTAAAAAGATAAATGAGTAAAATAATGTATATGGTCTGTTAGCTGGTGACAAGTACTGAGAGAAAAGAAAATAAAGTAGGAAAGGGGTAGTTAAATTGTTGAGGACCCAGTGGCTGGGTAACGGTTCCACAGGAAGGTGACCTAGAGTCACAGCTATAGCCATGGGGATCTGAAGTCAGAGCAGCAGCAGGGGAAGAGCAAGTGCACAAGCTCTAAAGCAGGAAGGACTGCAATGATGGTAGGGAAACAAACAGACCAGGTGGCTGAACAGACAGGAGGAGGAGAGAACAATAAAGAGGTCAGGGGTAATGGGAGAGTAAACCAAGTAGGCCCTTGGGGATCAAGCTGAGTAAGGAGGGAAGCCTCGGAAGTCTCCTCATATTTATCTAACTCATCAGAGCAGCTTTCATGCCCGTACACTTTCACTGTGGCCCGGACACAGAGGTCACAGCTGAGGCAGTGGGCTCAGCTCCAGGTCACTCCAAGTTTGGAGGGATTCCTGAATTAGCTGGGCTACTCCTGGAATTGGCTCGACTCAAGTCTACACCAGGAATCTTTCTGGCCTGTAATGCTGAGAGCTACCCAATGCTCACCATGCACAGACTCAAACACCTAACTGGCATACTGTCAGGAGGCTGAGAAGACATCAATTTCTGGAAACTTGTCTTCTATTAGTATTTTACTCAATAATGGTATTAAGACTCCTTAGTAAATTGATATACCAGCTATGAAATTCAAAATGCTGTGCTTTAGTATAGTGTATCAAATATAGTAGTCACATCTCAACAAGTTTTCATAAAAAGTACTTTTATTTCACATCTGGAAAATATAAAGAGGGCAGAAACTGTAAAAGATTGGGTAGTGCTGGCTCTTTCATGTTAAAATGGCATGAAACAAGCAGGGTATAAAAATTAGACGGGAGGCAAGAAATTCTTTATCACTCAAAATATTGACCAAGGTTCTTTACTGAAAGTGGTTTTACTATCATGTAATAAACAAACAAAAAAAGTCTCTTCAACTGCCTCTGAGCTAGCCCTGTTTGTTTTTTTAATCAATTCTACAACTATTCAAAAAAGTTATAATGCAAGAAAACAGCAAATCCAACATAATCTAAAACGGATTATTTCTATAGTGTGGTGATGAATCATTTTAACAATATTTTAAACAGCCTAATATTACTACCACCCATAAACAGAGAATGAATCAAAGTTTCATTTCCAAAGACTTCAGTACTATATAATAAAATAGAAGACAGAATATGTACAAAAAAAAAAGAGGAAGAATACAGACAACAGAAAGGAAATTAAAGGAGTAGAGATAAGGAAAAAAAAAACCCTAATTAACAATAAAAATTAAAGTACACCTTTATAATGAGGTGTGAAACAGAAGAGTTTTAAAATATGAATAGGTCGCTAATATGTACCAAACACTCAGTGAGTGAAAAATCTGACCATCAAGAGGCCAGCTTAGAGGCCAGCTTAGAGTTTAACAGCAGCTATGGAAGAAAATCCTATCAAACAATGTGCCTTTATTTTCTAATCTTTCCCAGAAGCTGTAGCTAAGCAAGTATGACAAACAATGTTTTTTTCTGCCACTTGGCGGCGATATGCACACATTTATGATTTTACTCATTTCCTAGATCAGTAAGTCTTTATTTTCAGAGAATGATTCAACAACTTTTCCTTCAAATCCTGAAGTGAGATCTGAAAAATACCTTACAGATTCAAAAGACTTTTTATTCACCCCCAATATTTAAAATAGGTTAGATGAAATCTAAGCACATCATTTACATTATCTGACTACCTTTCCAGAATCATTTTCCCTTTAATAACTATCCAATTGAAAAGCAAAAAACAAACAAACATGGAACTGTCTGCACCCCCCCAGTTATCTCAATTAATACATTCTCAGAACAACTTCAGAATCATAGTCTATTTACCTAAATGGCTTTAGTCTTAACAGCATCACCATCACCTTCACCACTGCTTAACCACTTCCTTAGACAAAGTTGAAGGAATGTTAGTGTCAAATGGCATTCCCATTTCTTTAACGGAAAACATCCTCTAGACAAAATAATCTTTAAAAGTTTATTTTTCAACTTGCAAAGACCTTTTTCAATGAAAAGGTAAAACTAATCACTAACATAAATGGGATACCAGATGCACTAAGCAAACAAATTTTGTTATCAGGCACAAAAGTTAGTATCAAGAACAACTTATAATTTTAGCATAAAATTTCCTGACCAAATTTTTCTAGCATCATTCAATGAAGTTATTTTAAATGCTAAGACTGTGGTCGTGTCCGCAGGTTACTTCACGCTTTATCCCTTAGCAGCTTTTCAGAAAAGCCTGAATCTGGATCAACAAGAAAGAAGGCACATCTTCCTCTTCCCACGGGGCACTCCACCAATGAGTAAGGGACCAGACCTCTTCCAGTAAAGCTGGACTGCATGAATATTTTCTTACTACTAATACTTTAAAAAACAAGTAATTTTAACAATTTTCTACCTTTACTGTAAAACTAATATATGTCCACTCTAGAAACTTTAATACCACCAATTTTAACTTGATAAGCCACTATAGCTTCATATTCATATAATTTTAACAGTGACTAATAAACATGAACCTTATCTAGATATAGATGTAACTTATTGAGTAGCTCTTCCCTTCTGTTATCTTCTCTGGGCCTGATACCTATCATAGTACGGAACTGCATCCTCATTTTTAAAATTCCCAGTAAAGATCCTTTTGCATTACACCTGGCACCTAACAGGTTATTAGAAATAAAGAATAAATGAGTTAATGAATGAATCCAATTGAACTAAATGCATCTTCAAAAATTCAGAGAAAGGAAAGCAGCACTGCCCAAGTTGGCAGCAATACAGTCTAATCATATTTCCATCAGATCTAGCCCAGCCGCACTAGCTGATGGTAAAGGAATAATTGTAGGCAAAGTTAAGTTTATTTACAAAGTTTGTGCTCTTTAGACACACTAACCTCTTCATCCTCAAGCCCTGGTCTAAATAACCAACACTCAAACACAAAATGGAAGGCTAAGAAAATTAGGGTAATAAAAGAATAAGAAACTTGGAATTATAGCCTCAGGAGTTCTAATCCTGGCTGCACTGATTTCTAACTAAGGTGAACCTGGGCATACATAGTCTTTGATTTTTATTTTCCTCATTCACAGAATGGGAATTATAGTGTACCTATTTACAAGATTATCCTAAGAATTAAAATTTTAAAACTTTTGTAATGACATTTCCAAAACAATGCTTGGCTCATAACTGGGAAACGTTTTTTCTTGAAATTCAATATGAGATACAAGGCTAATGTGAGAATCGTCTCAAGTAATGAAAGTATTGCCTTGCACTGTTTTGCTTAGGAAAATAACATTACAAAAACCAAAAAACATATTATCAGCTATGCATCACACACTACACACACACACACTCTCTCTCTCTCTCTCTCTCAATTTCAAGTATCAACTTCATGAAAGAAAGGGCCACTGTCTTGACTTGGTTTCTATGTCCCAAACTGCAAATACCAGCTTTTTCCAATATTTAACTCTAAATCAGATGATTAAGTTCTATTAGTAAAGTAAGATAAAAATAATCAGAAATTTAGCAAGCTTGAGTAAGGATAAAAAAGAACACTTGGCAGTATGAGACCTAAATACTATTTTTACTTGTTCATCCTCTTTGAGGACAAAATTATCATTAAATAGCTTCACCTTCTTTTTAGTTCAGAGCTGGAGAGAACATTAAGAGACTCCTTAATCTTCTAGCATGCAATTTAATTATATTCTTACATTTCACTTCTTTTATACATATGCTAAGATACTCTTTATCTCACAAACTCTGCGATCCACCCTTTCCTTTCAACCCAATTCCCAAACTTGAGTTTTTGTTCCTTTTCCCACTTTAGTTTGGTGCTTTCTAGCCAATCCAAAAAATCTTCCACCTTCCCCCACAAGCAAGCCTTTTGTCCTTGAGATGCTTCACACAAAAATGCTGTCTGAAAGACAAAGACTGGAGAAGCTATTAACCAGAAAATTCTAGGAACCAAGTGAAAAAACAAAAAGCCTAAGTCCACAATTATACATCAAAAATGCTTAAATTTATAAGATTCTGTGACAAGTACTAAACACAAAGATCACTTTGTTATAATTTAATTTTGACCAATCTTATTTCTAAGTCATTTCTGTAGTACCCGTATTTACATAGTACTAACTCAGCTTTGCTGTGTTGTTGTTGTTTTTTGCTGTTTTCTTCTTAATCTGAACAGGCACAGGGTCAAGGTGGAGAGGGCTGGGAGCTATTTTCTTTATAATCACTCTATAGTTTAGCATTTTCCTTTTTAAAAGGATACTTTTGAGCCACATTTGTTTATAAAACTACATTTTCAACCAAAAGGAAGGAGCTAATAATATATCACAGAAATACTTACACAACATCATGCAGCCCAAAAGAAAAATTATAGATTATTACATTTTGTGATGATCAGGGATTCAGCCAGGTCTTTACTAAATCTGACACAATTCACTTTGTTTCTCCCTCAATAGAGACAAATCCCCTATTTTTCATTTTGTACTTGCAAATAACTCAAGAGAAACCATTCTCTTACTTGTCTATTTGCACATCATTTGCAAATTCATGAGACAGCTACAATGAACTATACACCAGAAAAATAATCTTACCTTTTTTCATTTCCATATGACTTCTGTGCAACTTTTGCGTGAAGAATAAGTACTGTTTGATCCCCTCGCTCTTTTAAATAATTCCGCATAGCTTCCCTAAAATAGAACACAAATATTACTATTACAGGGGTGAAATTTAGAATATTATTTACTATGCTCTGTAATGAGAAAAATGCTTATGAATATTTTTAAACAAGCAAATCTAAAAACAAAAACAGTAAGGCTTAAAAGAAACCCATGAACTGAGTTTAAAGAATATTATACAACGGGGGCAATAAATTCTGTTCATCTTCAACCCTATACTTTGTCTTTAAGAGAAGAAACTGTCCTTCTTTTTTGTAATTTATAATGTAACTGAATTAAACCACAATTACAATTTCTAGAACCACTATGTATATTGCTAATTTTGCTTTAAACTGTTCATAAAATTAATGGCATGCAATTCTTTATATTATTGATATAATTATCAGAACAAGTGTTTTTCATTGAATACAAAGCCATAAAAAATCACTAGATCATCCAAATTTATTACTATATTTTCTTAAAATAACAAACCTTATATAAGGACTAAGAAAGGGCTATCATTTATATACAAACACAATTACTAAATTAAATTTGGGGGGGAACAATATTAATTCTTTCAAGTACAAAGTACTCCAACTATCTATTCATTATGTATAAATTATATAAAAAGTTAAATATGTTAAATATATTTATTCACCCAATTATTTTGGTAAGCAGTACTGAGTATAAACAACACAAGGTCTACACACGAAAATTTTACAATTCTGTATCAGCAGAATCCCAATTCTAAAGATGTTTCACATATTACAAAATTAAAGTTTAAAAGACAATCATCAAGAAACACTTAAATGCTATTTTATTTAAATTATAAATAAGAAACAAATGTATTAGGATAGCTACACAACAGTAAGTTATTAAATGTGGGAATTCTAGGCTGTAGCATTTTACAGAAACTAAGTGGCCTAACCTCATCCAGCCTCAGCAATGCTGACCTAACACAAAGTGGTTGAGTGGATTGAGTGAGATAATCTAGAAGACAGCATTTATGTTTACTAACTGAAAACCTGTTAGCTGCAAGGCAGGGCAGGTAACAATGGGATCCAATATATTGAGAATTAATACCTATCCCTTAAAAGGGACTTAAAAGTTCAGTCAGTGAAGACAACTTAGAAAACAAATTGTAATGAAATACATTATCCAAATAGAAGTATGAACAGAAGTACCAATAAGGAAATGTCTATGGAAAGGAGGGGAGGGGTGATAAAAGACTACATGCTAGAAAAATTTCTTAGAAGAGGTAAATTCTGAAGTAACAGGAAGACACAGTCATGAATGACCTTGCACATTTGGGTACAGTGAGATACTCAAGCTGAGGATTAAGGTGGCCAAAATGACAAAATAGCAGCTAATATCTCGAGTACTTACTATGTGCCAGGCACATAACTAAGCACTTAAAATGCACTATTTCATTTCATCCTTGAAATACAAAAAGGTTATGTCGTGCCTAATACCTTGCAATTAAGAAGTGGCAGTTAGGAACTAGAATCTCAGATTTTACACTAAGCCATCGCAGTGAATAAAGCTGACAAGTTGGGGAGTCAAACTGTGAAAGGCATGCCAAAACCCATGGAAATCTGACATCTGTAAACTTAAATACTCAGTATGAAAGTTTAAGCTAACTCAAATATCACTCTAATAGATGAGAATCCAAATGATAGCAGTTAAGCCCAGCCAGTGTGGCTCAGTGGATTGAGTGTCATCCCATGGACTGAGAGGTCCCGGTTTGATTCTCAGTCAGGGTACATGCCCAGGTTGCAGGCTCCATCCTCAGTGGGGGGTATGCAGGAGGCAGCAGATTGATGTTTCTCCTCTCACATCAATGTTTCTATCTCTCTCTCCTTTCTACTCTCTAAAAAAAAAAAAAAAAAAACAATAAAAACATATTTTTAAAAAAATAATAGCAGTTAATAAAAATATTGACACCTAGAGAAAACTTTTTAAAAAATTTTTTAAATCCATATTTTTGACAATTGAGAAAAGATCATTTAATTTTATCTTTACCCCTTTATAGAAAAACATCATGAATGGAACTTGGATTTTTCAATCTACACAAAAGGCAATAAAAGATCCTGAAGTCTTTTAAACAATTGATTTTCCTGCTTAGTTAGTTAATTCTAGTGGTGGAATAGAGAAAGCACTAGAGAGCAGAGACAAGACTAACTTGAAAAAAGGACTAAGAAAGAGGCAATAAAAAACAGTAGAAAAGATGGAAAAGACTTAGTAACTTTTTTTTTCTTTTTTTATCCTCACCCGAGAACATTTTTTCTTTTTTTTGTTCAGATAGAGTGGGAGGGAGAGAGAGGAAGAGAGAGAGAAACATTGACGTGAAAGGTACACATCGAGTGGCTGCCACCCGCACAACCCAACCAGGGCCAGGGAGAAACTGCAACCAAGATATATTCCCTTAGCAGGAACTGAACCGGGGTCTCTCTGGACCACAGGCCAACGCTCTAACCGCTGAGCCAAAACGGCCAGGGAGACTTAGTAACTCTGTATCTTTTGTTTTGGGAGAAGTGGGTATATATTAAAAGGTTCCGTCTGACAAATGTCAACGCCGACGCACCCCAAACCTCCATGCTGGAAGTATTCAACAGGTTCTTGGAAATAACCATCTGTAGTTCCACAGAGTGGTATATAGTTGGCAAGTGAAGCCATGGAAGTGAATGAAATCTCCCAGAATGCAAATGCAGTGATAGGAGAATCAAGAACAAAATGTATAAAATGAATGAATGGAGCACAACTAGTAAGGGGCAGAACTGAGACTGTTTATTAGAGGCTACGGAAGCAAACAACCTCGAAAGAAACACGGGAACAATCAAAAGAAGAGATGCTGCAGAGATCAAAGTCACTTATAGTAAGAAGTCTTAACAAATGCCAGCTAACAAGAGAGCTTTGCAAGTTATTTATAAAACCAGAGGGGCCATTGTGATATCTATTTGGAAACACCCTCAAAGGAATGAAGACAGAAACAGAGTATGGAAGGTAAAAGGACTGAATGTCAGTATCAAAGGACCAGCTAATGATCAAATCCATAAATGATGATGCAAATTCCCACTAACAGTCCAAAAGTGGGACCAGAGAGAGCACACTGGGTCTTCAGCATCTTCTTGAGAAAGTTATTTAATCTTTGGGTAAGTTTAAACCTGCTGGGTACTGGACAAAAGGTGTAGCCTGGAAAGGATAATGATGATATGGGATTTGAGGTGTTGCTAACTATAGAGTTCAGGGTGAATAAGAAAACAAACCAAAACAAAACAAAACAAGCCAGAAGGCAATGGTCTTGACAAAACTGGCACAGATGTCTAGCCCCTAGCACAAAACTTGATAAGTCGTGGTATATTTGAAAAGAAAAAATTTTAGTGGCAAGTGTATTTCTCCACACTAAATTCTATTTGCATCTGTAGTCTCTATGGTATCAATTACTTCCTATGTTTGCTAGATTTCACGTCTTTTTTGTCTTCCCAAACAGACTATAAGTCTTTAGGACACACTATTTAGAAATGGGGGAAAAGATTAAATAACTTTCTCAAGAAGATACTGAAGACCCAGTATTCAAACTGAGGCAGTCTGGCTCTCGAGGACAAAACTATACATACTATCTTATTCTGCCATGGTTATAAATAAGCACAGCTTTGGTGAGAAGCAGATAGCAGTTTGAATCTTAATTCTTGTCACTTACTAAACCTGAGTTTTCTCACCTGTAAAAAACAAAACAAAACAGTAATATCTCAAATAGTGAAAAATAAATTTAAAGCAAGCTAGCTCCCACAAACTGGCAAATACCAAGTGTCAGTAATCTCTACCTATTATTTTCTTAGAAAGGGCATGGGAGAAGAAACAGGGAACTTTCACTAAAGTTTGAGAGCAAACTGGAAAAGAACCTGGAGGTAAATAATCAGGCATCTCACCTGACTTGCAAGGCACACATTTTGCAAGCACATCAGGTAAACTAAACACTTTATCCATCTTCCCATTAAAGATTCACTGAGAGCCTATTACATCCCAGGCACAGGTTACCATGCTAGCTGCCCATACAGGAAGTAAGTGTCCACAGTTGTGATCACGACAAATAATGTCAGATCTCAAGGTGTTTATGATGAATGCAAGATGATAGGCTCTAGTTTTCTCTCTTCCCTTCATATTTATAATGTAAGTTCTTGAAAAAGCAACAAGAACCTTAAGGTAATCATTAATAATAGCTGTCTTGTAATTTGCCAAACAGCTTCTTTCAACAGAAAAAAATATTGCTTTCTTAACAGAATATCAATTATGTTCTCTGGCAATTAAAGGTTGATGATTTACTTATGCAATTTAAGGAGCCAGAAAAAGGACAGTATACTCTAAATAAACACAATTAAATAGTAAAGCCCATGGAATGACAGTGCATGTGTGTTTCATCCAAATAGAATAGTGTTTCAATTTCTCCACTATTGGCATCCTGGCAAAAACAATTTTGTTGTGAGGTGCCTGTTAGGTGCACTACAAGGTGTTTATCAGTATATCTAGCTTCCACCCATTAGAAAATCAACAGTACCCTTCCTAGAGCTGACAACCAAAATGTCTCTTGATATTGTCCAATGCCAGGGGTTGGAGAAGGTCGCCTGAGTTGAAAACACTACATTAGGGGGAAAAAACAAAAATATTCCAACAATAAGATGTCAGAATCAGCCAATGTCTTAAGAAAGAATGAGGGAAATTTTATCACTGGAAAACATAATGTAGGGGCTGCAAGAATCTTACTTGTAGATTTACTACTTTGTATTACTGAACTGTTCAAAATAATGACAGTTAAAATTCATGATTTATTGGAAGTTTCTATTCTAACAAGTTTTGACGTATATTCTTTGTTAATTTCACTTAATGAATCCTTACAATATAAAATATCCATTCTGAATAAAGACCTATTAAAAATTATCTGAAGAACATCATGGAGCAACTACTTTTGAAAGTGTTTGCTTACTGAAAACACTAGTGTAAGTTCTTGCTGCTCCTTTTCAAGGTTTTGGCTAGTCCAGGTCATTTGCATTTCCGTATCAACTTTAGAAACAGCTTGTCAACTGCTACAAAAAAGCCTGCTGGGATTTGATTGAAATATGTTGAATCCATAGATGACTTTGAGAAGAAATGGCCTTTAAACAATACTGAGTCTTTGCCTGAAGAACATTTATTTAGGACTTCAAGTTCTATCAGCAATGTTTGGTGGTTTTCAGTATATAGTTTTTGCACATTTGTATCAGATTTTTCCCCCTAAGAATTAAATGTTTGATGCTATTGTAAATGGTATTGTTTTTCCATTTCAATTCTTCATTGCTCACAACTAGTATAAAAGACACAATTAATTTCTTGTGTATTTTGTAGGTTGATCAGGGATATCCTACAACCTTGCTAAAATCACTTATTAGTTCTAGTAGTTTTTGAAGATTCCAGAGAACCTTCTATATAGATGATCATGACATTTGCAAAGAATTTTACTTTTACTTTCCAATCTGGACACCTCTCATTTCTTTTTCTGGTCTTACTGTATGATTTAAAACCTCAAACACAATGATAAATGGAATTAGTGAGAGTGAACACCTTGCATTGTTCCTGATCTTGAGGAAACACATTTAGTCTTTCATAATTAAGTGTGGTGCTCAATGTAGTTTGATCAATGTCTTCAATGTAAGGACATTCCCTTTTAGTCCTAGTTTGATCAGAATTTTCATCAAGAATGAATGTCAAAAGGTTTTTCTAAATTTCTTGAGATGACCATATGATTTCCTTTTTTTGTTAATATATTGAATCACATTAACCAATTTCCACTTCTGAGATAAATCTCACTTAGGTCATAATATATTATTCCTTCTACATGCTGGATTCATTTTTAAAATTTGTTAAGACTTTTTGCTTCTATGCTTATAAGGAATATTGGTCTACAGTTTTATTATCTTGTAGTGTCTTTGCTGTTAGTAACATGGCAATGCTGTCCTCACCGAATAAATTGGGAAGTATGTCCTGCTCTCCAATTTTCTGGAACGATATGTATAGAACTGGCATGATTTATTTCTTAAATGTCTAGTAGAATCCAACAGTGAAATCATCTGAGCCTGTAGGTTTCTTTGTGGGAGGATATATAATTACAAATTCAATTTCTTTAGCTATAGGGCTATTCAGGGTATCAGTTTCCTTCTGAGTAAGTTTTGTTTGCTGATTTCAAGGAATTTGTATATTTCTCCAAAGGTGAATTTACTGTCGAAAAATTATTCATAATATTTGCTTGGTATCCTTTAAATATCTGTAAAATCTGCAGTGATGTCATATTTCTCATTTTTGATAGTACTAATTTGGACACGATCAGATTTCTATTAGATATGATTATTCTGCTTAAAGGAATTAACATTTCTTGCAGCTCATGTGACTAATTCTCTTTCAGCTTTTATGTCAAAAAGGTCTTAATTTGCCTTCACTGGGTAGTGAATCCTAGGTTTCTATATTTTCCCCCCTTGGGAAAACTGTCTTCTTTCTACCTAGCAAGGTTTTAGATGAAAAATCCAGTCATCTTTATCTTTGTTTCGCTGTGTATTATAATTTATCTTCTATCACTGTTGCTTTTAACGTTTTATCTTTATCATTGTCTTTAAGCAATTTGATTATGATATGCTTCAGCAGTTTGTACTTGGGGCTCACTGAGATTCTTGAAATTATGATTTTACAGTTTACCAAATTTAGAAAAATGTCAGCCATTATTTCTTCACATATTATTTTAGTCATATCCTCCCCCTTCAATAACTCTAATTACATGTATATTAGTTCACCTGAACATAAACCACAACTAAGAAACTTTTTTGTTCAGATTTTTTTTATTTTGGACAGTTTCTATTGCTGTCTTCAAGTTCAGTAATCTCTTCATCAGTATGCATAAATGCAATTAATCCCATAAAGTTATCTTTTCATCTTTAGTACTGCAGTTTTCATCTCTAAAAATCTGATTTGAGCCTCCCTTTTTATCTTCCATGTCCTCTATTTAACTTGTTCAATCTCTCCTCTAGCTCAGGGATTTGCAATTCAATCCTGTAGGATAAATGTGACCTATTGCCTGTTTTAGAAATAAAGTTATACTCCAGTATACAGACACATCCATTGGTTTATATATTATCCATGGCTCCTTTTACGCTACAACAGAGCTGAGCAGTTATAACAGAGGCCACAAAAAACTAAACTATCAACCATCTGATCCTTTAAAGAAAAATTTTATAAACTCCTGATCTAAGCATCTTGAACATATCAAAGACAAATATAACAGCTTTAATGTCTTTTTCTAATTCTATCATCTGTGTCATTTCTGGGTTGGTTTTGACTGATTTTTCTCATTATGAATCATATTTTCCTGCTTCTTTGTATGACTGGTATGTTTTGACTGAATAGTGACTCAATAAATTTCACCTTTTTGAGTGCTGGATATTTGTCTATTCCTGTAAATATTCTTGAGCTTTGTTCCGGTACACAGTTAAGTTACTTGGAAAGAGTTTGATCCTTTCAACCTTGTTTTTAAGTTGTAAGGTGAAACCAGAGCACCTTGTAGTCTAGGTCTTATTTTGCACCACTATTGAAGCAAAACCCTTCTGAGTCCTCTAGGCAATGCATGTAAATTGTTAAGATTTTTTCCACACTGGCTACTGGGAACAGGTACAATTTGTAGTACTGAGTGAGCTTTAGGAATTCTTTCCTCTAATTCTTAAGGTTGGTTTCCACCCCCAACCTTCGGCAGTTTCCTCTCACGCACATGCTGATCAATATCAGCTGAAGACCGAGGGAACTCTCTGCAGATCTCCGGAACTCTGTGCTACACTGTCCCCTCCAGTTCTCTGCCTGGAAACTCTAGCCACCTTGGCCTCCCTAGAGTCCTAGCTCCATCTCAACTCAAGGTGCTTACTAGGCTCCACCTGGATTCCCCCTCTCTACATCATGTCCTGGAAACTCTCTCCAGGCACTAAGCTGGAGCAATCATAGGGCTCACCTCATTTGTCTCCTGTCTCTCAAGGATCACTGTCCTTTCTTGCCTGCCGTCCAATATCTTGAAAATCGCTGTTTCATATATTTTGTCCAGGTTTTTAGTTGTTTCAGGCCGGAGAGTAATTCCAGTCCCTGTTACTCCATCTTGGCCAGAAGCGGAAGTCCTAAAAGCTACTAAAATTTTCCAAACAGGGAAAATTGCTTAAAGGGTAAATGGAAAATCATGATAAAGTAGACGGGACCTAACTGTATTATTGTATATATTTAAGAAAAGGAATTTTTCCTCATATTTATTATCACTGAGTTGATTGTTATTTTTACAAAGGAATTCATTCAAGTAACTAATTTATAAATCAAAATATATTTTGTTAGGAGTCACTCCAACCAACTGTTGCTGGTAATAAAATAAAAATATTTATCAATTAAATTTTAAACTGCCTATACATTTGAATTAAGCAATTCCACTTAGGATTTCTTCAAGATATATAAAAATAAGTAACTGAAAATATATTTACATGAACCTGTTAGACAAGTTGCATTTTCCCAGCCCACTTCACGTGGAATATTGATGTAATGTCTTCTTTAAAAGTTTATTTTAATATTGAAGTAATTTCAGATTTACAGAAAAGCTGCAAAAGTAGTACAAAGAGTTCCTAGTCCCCTTTCTTTCAGACTCCCCAAATGTTAACATTTTACCATATTTGTATACTATGTTTTGAAACCATTTAAGAGCATACTGTAGACATAAAATCCCTTTACCCAAAAAACTTGTGTTTATTTCCTTATACAATCAAAGTGCAACAGCACTTATACAACATTAGTATCTACAGATTTTATTCATGTTGCCATTGTTCCACTAACATCCTTTATAGAGGGGAAGGGGACAGAGCTGAGAAACTATTGCCCTCAGGCCAATTCAGGATGGCCACTGGTTTTTCTAAATTAAGTATAGCTGGAACAGACATGCCATTCATTTACATGTTTTCTATGGCTAATTTGGGGATATAAGAATAGAGTTGAGAAGTCACAACAGACTCAGTGTGGCTCAGAAAGCCAAACATGTTTGTTAACTGACTTGTTACAGAAAATGTTTGGTGATTCAAGCTTCAGATCGAAATGACAAGTTTTTTACTGGTCCAGGATTTAGCTGAATTTAGTTAGTTGTCATATCTTGTTGGTCTTCTTTAATCTGGTATTCTTCAGTCTTTGTTTTTTATGATCTTGAAAATTTGAAGAGTAAATGCCATTTATTTTATAAAACGCCTCTCATTTGCATCTGTCTGATCTTTCCTTATGCCTACATTTAGCTTACACATTTCTGTCAAGAACACCACAAAAGTAATGTTGTGTCCTTCTCAGGATGCACATAACATTTATTTGTCCATTACTGGTGGTGTTAATTTAGATCACTTAATTAAGGTGGTGTCTGCCAGGTTTCTTCATTGACATGTTACTATTTTTCGCTATAATTAATACATACTTAATAAGGACACCTTTAGAGACTATGTAGTTAGTTTCTCATCAGATTTTAAACCAGTAAATTAAACATTCATGATGATTTTTTAAATTAATGTTTTTTCTTTATTGATTTTAGAGAGAGAGGAAGGAAGAGGGATAGAGAGACAAAAACATCGATGAGAGACAACATCGACTGGCATGCCCCCCACTGGAGATCTGGGCATGTGCCCTGACCAGTAATCAAACCGGCAACCTCTTGGTGCATGGGTCGATGCTCAGCCACTGAGCTGGGTTCATTGATGATTTTTGCCTCAGACAATTATCATTGTAGTGGTTGCCAAAGCGTGAGCTCCTAATTCCATCATTCCTTCATTTATTAGGTGAATTTCTTCTGCTGCATTTATTGAACCATTTTTAAACTCAGTGTAGACTTCTAAACTGTCATTTTAGTATATAGATTTCCATCCATTACTATCATTATTTATTTTGATGATCAAAGTGTCCACGGTTTGGGCTAAAAGGAAGCCTCATCAATCTGGCTCCCTTCAAATCCTTCTGGCACATCTCCATCATTCTTTGAGTGCAACAGCTTTTTAAATAATAGCAAAAACATGGAAATTACCCAAATGGCCATTAATGTGAAAATTAAATAACAACAGTGTGAAGACAATGTTGAGAACAAGGCAGAAAATGTAAAGAACAATGGTCAAGTATGATGTCAGACTTTAAAAAGAAATAGAAAAAAAGACAGGCATGTGTTTATATATGCTTACAATTTTCTTGAAAGATTACTAACACTAACAGGATTAGCATTTATTCAAGCACTAAAACTGTGGACTGAGTGTCTTTTTATTTTACAACCACTGATTGTCAGAAATCTTTTAAACCATTTTCAAGATTAATACTTTTAAATTTAACATTTGTAATTAAAATATTATAAAATCAATTTGTATGACTAGAACACAATATATTTATGACTCATTAAAATGTTTAAAATCATGTGTTTTCTATAAAATTCTTTAATAAAAGCATTTATTAAATATCTTTCAAGTCCCACTTATAATCAACAAATTGTGACTGGCTAAATAAATGCAGCAAGATATAGGAAACTATTTTTACATTGCAGCCCTTGTTATATTAACTATATAATACCCAAGATTAATTATTCAAAGGTTTCATTTCCCCTTTGAAATATATCCTCTTATCCTGTTATTTTTATGGGTGGTGGGGTGGGAAGGGGAAGATGTGGGATTGGGAGGATAGAAATAAACATAATCTAGATACCAATATATTAATAACTTCTTTTCAAGAGCACCTAATATTGTTTCCAAAATGACAGGATCTAACACTTTTATGAAATGTCTGGGTGAAAGGCTGACTACTATAATGCTTACCTAGTAAGTCGTTTAGGTGGAGGCCGCTCACCAAATTTTCTGGAAAAAATAAGAAAAAAACTTAAATAGACTATATGACACATTCCATAATAAGCTTTTTAGGAACCATGACATCTCCTTCATAACATATACTTCAACCCTACTGACTAGCATAAAGAGAAATCCTCTGGTAACATCTATACCCAGAAATAGCAAAATTCCAAAATGGTTCCTAAACAAAAATAGCACAATCTAAGTAGGGCTTACACATCTACTCTGAGCATGTAGCACACTAATTACATGAGGATTTCAGGTACCTTTAAGAGACAGATACTTTGCAAAACAAAAAAAAACAAAAAAAAAAACCCCACTAACCAAAGACCCCCCCCCCAATCTCATACAATCTGTAGCACCCTGAAAAATCCTCACAGCCCAAGAAGTGGTATAGAGGCCACAAGTGTTTATTATGTGCTGGCACTAAGGTATACATTTTTTATTCTTTATCCTCTTTAATCATTATAAAATAATTCTGTAAGGTACATACTGGCCCATTTTCAAGATGCAAAAAGCAACTTGCTCAATGTCACCAAGTAAATACATGGCAGGCAGAGCTGAGATTTAAACCTACATGTCGACTACTTAACTAGCTTATGGTATATTCCCCTTCATAAAGAAACAGGCTAAATGGACTTACACAGAAGCATTCAAGTGGTTTACAGAGGGCAAAGATAGTTACTCAACGGTGAACTATATTACTATTTTTTAGTTATAACTGGTTAAGCCAAAATAACTAAATAAAGGAAATAAGTATGATGTCAATAAAGATAAATAAGTTTAAGAAGACACTAACTCCTATGTGATAACCTACTATTTCCTTTGAATAGAAAATGGATCTTTCTGAAAGAGACAGTTGAAGGCATAGCACTTGAAGAAAAATAACCAATAAAATTTTGTTTTTAAAGCAAGATTGCAGTTATAAACAAGTTAAAGTAGCTTTTCACAATCACAGTTAGAGTGTAGAGTATAATTTGACTTAAGATTTCTCTATATTTGTGATATTCCATGAAGTTATTAAGTTCCTGTGCAATTCTTTTTGTTGAATAATTAAATGCTATATGACACTGTCTATGAACTCAAATTTTATAAACAATGGGTGCCTGTGACTTTGAATATTTTGGTATTTTCATTAACCCTGAAATACTGAAAAGTGGCTTTAATTGAAGTAGTACCCAAAAATGAGCAAATAATCCACGCTTCTGTAAGAAGAATTATTTATTATTCTCTTCGATTTTATCCTATAGGATATACAGTTCTTTAAATTAAAAAACAAACAAGCAAACAAACAAAAACCAAACAATGTTTTAGTAGTAACACCAGCAAAGCTGCTGAAGACCATAGGTTTCAAAATACTGAACTGTTGGCTAATCCGTAAATTACAGCTATGGAATTAAAGGCAAAAATCTACTCCTAAATCTATTTTTCATAGAAAATATTTTTTTGGACACTTGAAACTGATTAAATGTAGCTTTACAGTATATGATTAAAACAAAACTGCCTCACTAGGTTGGATATAGAATATTTTACAAAATCCAAGAAGTTTAAGACCTCTTTAAAACACTTCTTTGCATATATATTTTAAGAGCAGAGTTAACTTTATAAAGAAAAACAAAGTGGGGTGTGACCAGAATCTACCTACAGCTTAAAATGTTGAAAATTTTAGAGACAGTTAACAAATGAGACAAAACGTTTCAATGATGCCACCACCATTCTCTAGTAGCTACTAATACTCCAACCATCAAGCACCCTTTGGGATCTAACACAGTACCTAACATAGGTTTATTACATGACTAGTTTATTACACTCAAAATTCAAATGTAAATTTTATCTCCTACTGCTCTGAAATGCTTTAAAAATTAGATTAACAATGTAATGTTAACAATGGTCTCCTTTGGAATACCATTACATCAAGTCAACAATTGCATAGCATGCTTGTACAACATCACTCTTGTCCCCACAGGAAACATGAGCAAGAGAACTCAATCATTTGCCTGCTGAGCTTGAATAGCATTTCAATATGATGCACTATTCTATCCAGGTATCACCCTCAGGCTAGGAACCTTATAAACATTAATAAGATTAAATTGCTTCTCCAGTATATAAAGCATCTCCAATAATCGTTGTGTGCATCCCAATCCTCTTTTTAATGTATATTCCACCACATGCCTATTTGTTTCATTAAAACTAATGGTAACTGTATCCATTGGAATGGGAGAAGAATAAGAAAATGGGTTTGCCCGGCTGGTGTGGCTCACTGATTGAGTGTAAACATGTGCACCAAGAGTTCATCGGTTCAATTCCCTGTCAGGGCACATGCCCATCCCCTCCCAAACACATATATAAAACAACACACATATACATTCTTCACACAATTATTAGTGATAATGGTAAATAGCAAAAATCCCATTTTGCTGTAGAATGCATTATATAATTTGACAGATGTTTTATTCTTTACTAGTTAAGTATGGCTTAGGTAAATAGCAAAATACAATTGCATTCTCTGGACATCAACGGAAGGCCATTCAAACACCAAGTCTAGAATACAGGTGGCTTAAAGTAAAAATAGAAAATGGCATATAGGAATTTAGCACCCTTCCCCCCAAAAACCTGAGTTGACCATATTATTGCTTATACAATTCAAAAATAGTAAAAATGCTAGGCCAATAAATGTGTACAAATGGTTATTCAAAAACATGTACATAATAACCCAAAACTAGAAAAAACCTAATGGCCACTGGCAAGGATCAGATAAACTACAGAATAAGCAGACAACACAGTGCTATTGAGCAATGAAAGTGAACCAACTATTACTGCATATGCAATGCTGATTACTAGCCAAAGAACACAGATTCTAAAGTACAAAACTGATTCTATTTACACAAAATGCAAACGTAAGCAAAACTAATCTATAGTGTTTGACAGAACACAGACTACCTTTGAGAGGGAGGTATAGAGACTAGGAGGGGCCACAAGAAGGGCTTCTGGGGAGCTAGTAATGTTTTTTTAACTCTAGAGAGAGAGGTTTTTTATTGACTCTAGAGCAGCGGTTCTCAACCTATGGGTCGAGACCCCTTTGGGAGTCGAATGACCTTTCACGGGGTTCACCTAAGACCATTGGAAAACACATATTTCCAATGGTCTTAGGAACCGAGACACCACTCCTCTATCGTCTCCAGGCGTGTCCACCCTCATGCAGGTGCACCCACATACAACATGAGGAACTGTATTAAATGGTCCCGGCATTAAGAAGGTTGAGAACCACTGCTCTAGAGAGAGAGGATGGGAGAGGAAGAGAGAGACATATATATGTGAGAGAAACATCTATGGGCGGCCCCCATCCCCAGCACACCTGCCCCATGGGGGACTGAACCCACCACTGGGAATCAAATCAGCAACCCCTGTGCATGGGACCTCATCCAACAACTACGCCACACAGACCAGGGCTGAGCCAGTAATTCTTGTCTTCATTTGTGTGGTGATCACATATGCATATTCACTCTGTGAAAATTCACTTTAGTGAACATTTTTTATTTGTGTGCTCTGCTCTTCTGTAGGTATATTACTTTAGAAATGTATTTCATATATATATATTTATAAATAAATATAAAAGTTTTTTTAATGAATGGCTGGTTTTGAAAAAAAGTTCTTTCCTGGACTTTATTACAATTTTCTTCAAATTCTACTTTAACATCAAAATTTTACAAGGTGGTGATTTCTCATCATTGCAGGATGTATATATTTCATATAAAGAAAATTTAAATATTAAGCCAATGAGGATGTATATTCTGACAAAACTGGTCCTCTTCCCTTTCCATCCAAATTTCAGATAGAAATTGCCTCCTTAGTAGGCAAAAGATTAGGATTGACTATGGTCCTCTGTTTGACAAATCATCTATCACAAGAGTATGTATTTTTTAAAAATCACTAATTATTCAGTGTCATGGATAAATACTGAATATGTGCTAGGATCAGAATGTTCCTATTGTTAATCTTAAAACTGGATTACTTTGCCTAGCTCAGTAAACTGAGATGAAGAGGAAAGAGAGAAGGGTATAATTGTTTTTGCCAAATCTGGGTCCCTTCTTCTCTCATTAACCATTTAACACACATTTAAGTGCCCACTGTGTGTTAGGCATTGTACTAGACACTTGGAACACGTAGCAATTAAGAAACATGGTCCCTATCCATGTCAAATACAATGCAATAGGAGCTACAGGAGGGCCATCATGAGGCTACATACTGTGTATGCCATCTCACTTCATACACATATTAATCTATTACACTCTATATACAGATGAGGAAATCAGCTTAGAAACTGTCTTGCTCAAGTTCACAAAATGGTGAATTTAGTTCAAAATGTAACTAGAGTATAATCTTCATGATTTTCCATATACTCTGTGTTGAGACAGAATTTAACTGCATGTGAAGAGGGTGCCCAGAGAATAAATATTTATGATACAATTATAAAATGCATTAATCAACCCTAAAACTTCCTATAATACAGCATAGATTTGGTTTGCTTAAGTGAGGAGGTCAAAAGAAAATCTGAAAGGAAAATTTTTATTGCTCTCCTAATAACTTCAGCTACTGACTAAATTTTATAACGGTAAAGGGTGAATTATTCTTTGATTACTAAAAAGTGAGAAAATGTTTTCTAAATCTATAAATACATAAAATTCAGGAAATCTAAAGACATTTGCTGTGGGAGCCATACCTTGGCTATTGCATACATATAAGCATATTGACACGTTTGCGACCACATGTATGTCATAAATTTGATAATTATTCTTGCATTTTTCCTGAATAAGGGGAGTATGTAATGACTGCAATGGAACTATGAAAGTTTCATGACTTTAGTATATACACCACCAATCATTTTCTACAAAGTACATCTTTTCTGAGTTGAAAAGGACCAGGAATCTACTCAGATATCTTCAGTTTAACAAACAGGTTTTGCAGTCTTCACTTTTCTTTTAGCAGAAATTAGAGAGACACAGTACCAG